GGTTTTTTTTTTTTTTTTTTAAGAATTTAAGTTTTACTCAGAAATTTACTTACCTAACCATTTGTTCACAGGCAAAGTTTGCAGCTTCCCTCTTCTGGTTAGTGTTTCGTGCCACTGAAGATGGAGAGTTTGAAAATATCCCCTCTCAAGTTACCAGTCCTATTCAGCGAGATTCAGAGGTATATAATTATTTATTAAAAACTGGATCATTGGATAATGCAATTCAAGACTTTTCATTGGTTTAGCCATTATGGTATATGAACCAATATACCATAATCTACAAATATGGTAACCGTATATGTCAGCTTTAAATTAAAAGGGAGCTAAAAAATGAGATTTGGTAAGATTTGTCTAATATCTTGGGGGCATTTTTATTAAAACAATTTTCCACTCGTGCTTGTTGGATATGAGATGATTATAGCCAACAAGGCGCGTAGCATCTCGTTGGCTATCTATCATCTCATATCCAATGCGCACTTGTGGAATAATTGTTAATTAATAGTCAGATGAGACAATGCTGTTCATTCAAATACACATAATTTATCGTTCAGATTCACAATAGGTTTCAGTACCAGGCACATAGTGGTCAGATCTCCTCAATGGTAATGCACTGGCTTCCCATTTTCACTGATCCAAGCCAAGACCATTTTGGTCACCACGGTGCATGGAAAAAAGTTTTGCCAATTAAATTTTTTCAGTGAAAGTTGGCAAAAAGGCAACCTGTGTGCAGTGGTCAAGTTCTGTATATTAATTTTTAGCAAAGCTGTAACATTTTAATTTTTTTTTTTTTTCATTTTTATGAGATACACTTATTTACAACAAAATTATCAATTAGTCCTCTGTAATTGCCTCTTACTCCGCAGTGCATAAGTGTTGAGTCTTGAGATGTTGTTTGAACCCAATTATTAACAGTTTTTGGCAAGTTTCCACTAAAATTCTATGTCTTGTGATCATTAAATCTAATTTGGTTCCCAGATAGAGACTTTGAAAAACTTTTAGCCAGGAGCACAGACCTGTAGCTTTTGTACAAGCATTAAACTGTACTCTCTATATACTTTTAAATTGGTTGACTCCTGGGAACAACCAAAGGGACAAAATGGAACTGCAAAAGTCTTAAACCCTCATAATTTCCTGCTGAGTAAAGACTTCCTTAGGATTTTAACCCTTTCTCTCCTGAGATAGTAATTCTCCTTAACTGTGTGCCATGCAATTCATATGTTAGTTTGGAGAATTTGGTATTGGATCAACTAATAATCCCCTAATTGATATTTTTCTTTATTCTCATCACTTGTCTGCTTGATATTGTATTGATGTTGTAGGGAGAAATTCTGTCTTGATCACTCATGGGAGTTAAAGGGTTAAGGCCCTTCAGGTCTAAAAAATTATTCACCTGTATATATTCTAACTTGCTATTAATTTCTGTATCAAATTCTACTGAAAACACGAAATTAACTGTTAAGATGTTAGAGATGCATTAACCTTTTAACCCCTAAAAGTGATCAGGATCCAACTTCTCCTTATATTGTAACCCCTGGATCAAAAATTAAGGTCATGAGAATTCAGAAAATGATCACCAACTAAAGAAGCCCTTGATTGTTATTTAAAACAATTCTCCTTATCGGAACCTTAATAAATGTGTACAGAACAGTAGAGAGAATATGCATACCGACGTTATGGTTAAGACTTCGTCTTTTCTCCGGCCTTACCATGCCTCATATTTCATCTCAATAGAAGCGTATAACTGTTCGTCCAGAGGTGACAGAATTCCTCACCAAAGGTGAGATCTATTGCCAGGTATGCAATAGTATCTTTCACGGAAAAGCTCCTGTAGTGGGCCAGTGGGCTGTTCTTCAGACCCTGTCACGTCATGGATTTTATGTGGTGGAAGAAGGTGACATTGCTGTCACAGATTCTGCTTTGCAGCAGAAGAAACCATTCAGAAAGGTACCTTTTGTATGATTCAAGAAATTTAACTAGACAGAAAGGACCCTTGCACGAAGCTGCAGTTGAAAAATTGCAGAAATGACAGCTTACCCACAAGGATCATTTCTTTTACCCTAAAGTTACTCCCAGAAGTGATTAACATGTAGCTTCTCCTTGTACTATTCGTACATTATCCACCAAATGGTTAATGAGAATAGTCGAACTTACCAAGTGGAAATTTATATAAGAACGATCCTTCGCAGTAAAGCACTATTTGAGCAATAGTGGAAATCAGACCTGAAAAAAATTTCAGGCCTGTACGGGATTCGAACCACTGACCTCTGCGATACTAGTGCAGCGCTCTACCAATTGAGCTAACAAGCCAACTGGGAGCAGGCCATCAAATTAATTCGATATAAACCCGTAGATGATAAATCGAACAACAACAAACATATGAAACATATGAGTGAACTGCGGTTATGAGACGTATATAAGAACGATCCTTCGCAGTAAAGCACTATTTGAGCAATAGTGGAAATCAGACCTGAAAAAAATTTCAGGCCTGTACGGGATTCGAACCACTGACCTCTGCGATACTAGTGCAGCGCTCTACCAATTGAGCTAACAAGCCAACTGGGAGCAGGCCATCAAATTAATTCGATATAAACCCGTAGATGATAAATCGAACAACAACAAACATATGAAACATATGAGTGAACTGCGGTTATGAGACGTATATAAGAACGATCCTTCGCAGTAAAGCACTATTTGAGCAATAGTGGAAATCAGACCTGAAAAAAATTTCAGGCCTGTACGGGATTCGAACCACTGACCTCTGCGATACACTCATATGTTTCATATGTTTGTTGTTGTTCGATTTATCATCTACGGGTTTATATCGAATTAATTTGATGGCCTGCTCCCAGTTGGCTTGTTAGCTCAATTGGTAGAGCGCTGCACTAGTATCGCAGAGGTCAGTGGTTCGAATCCCGTACAGGCCTGAAATTTTTTTCAGGTCTGATTTCCACTATTGCTCAAATAGTGCTTTACTGCGAAGGATCGTTCTTATATACGTCTCATAACCGCAGTTCACTCATATGTTTCATATGTTTGTTGTTGTTCGATTTATCATCTACGGGTTTATATCGAATTAATTTGATGGCCTGCTCCCAGTTGGCTTGTTAGCTCAATTGGTAGAGCGCTGCACTAGTATCGCAGAGGTCAGTGGTTCGAATCCCGTACAGGCCTGAAATTTTTTTCAGGTCTGATTTCCACTATTGCTCAAATAGTGCTTTACTGCGAAGGATCGTTCTTATATACGTCTCATAACCGCAGTTCACTCATATGTTTCATATGTTTGTTGTTGTTCGATTTATCATCTACGGGTTTATATCGAATTAATTTGATGGCCTGCTCCCAGTTGGCTTGTTAGCTCAATTGGTAGAGCGCTGCACTAGTATCGCAGAGGTCAGTGGTTCGAATCCCGTACAGGCCTGAAATTTTTTTCAGGTCTGATTTCCACTATTGCTCAAATAGTGCTTTACTGCGAAGGATCGTTCTTATATACGTCTCATAACCGCAGTTCACTCATATGTTTCATATGTTTGTTGTTGTTCAAGTGGAAATTGTTGTCTTGATCTGACACCAAATTCTCACAACCTATTTTACAAGGATATGTGTTTCAGCTAGAAAGGAGAATCAACAATCAGATATTTGGGAATTAAAGGGTCAATTAAATATTAGGAACGGTTCAAAATATTATTTTGAAATGTCACTTTTGTTGTAATTCAAGAAATTAAGACAACTTTGTAATGCTCACTTTTGTCACAAGTGTGGGAGAAAGAATAAATTTTGTGTCCCCATGAGGAATCAAACCTCACATCTTTTGACTGAGCTCTTTGATGCTCTACCACTTGAAGCCACAGAGACACATCTGCACTCTTTGCCCCACCCTTGGGACAAGACAAAAAATGAGATAAAAAAAAGTAAGATAACACATTTTTATAATAACAAATCATTTGAACTCAGAAGAAACAGTCGAGGTTGGAGTAGCTCTGAAAAAGACTGTGGTTAGTAGTGGTGACTAACATTTCAACAAACTCAGCCGATGTCAATTAAGGGAACCTGATGTTTCAAATTATATCTCTTGCTGTCATCAAGAAATGCTGTGTATATGTTGTTAATCACAGAGGTTTTTTTTTTGTTTCCAACACATTTATAGTCAACCCATCTTGCTCTGATGGACTGCCTCATGAATGCCTTCTCTGCACAGGCTGTTAGTGTTCCAGAAGTTGTGCAATGTGTCAGGTAATTTGTACAGATCAAATATACATATATAGGGGGTGACTTTCAATGCTCTAACTTCCAAAATGACTACCATCAAAATTCTTAATAATGATAGTAATAATAATAATAATAATAATAATAATAATAATAATTTAATACTTATATTGCACAAATTAACATGTGGATATGATCAAATGTGCATCAACACTTTTCGGGGGACTTTGGCTAGACTGCATCAGCAGTTTACAAACAATCGAAGGAAACTTGATTTGAAGATGCCCCCTCCCCCCCAATTCCCAGTAAACAGGCCAAACCACATCACAGTAATCTCATGAGTGGGTTTTTTAACGTCCCCTGCCTAACCAAATTAACTAATTAATAGATGCAGGAGATGGGACCTATTCGTCCCTATCCAAGAAGACTAGAATGTCTATCCATTTCTTGATATTATAGAAAGGTAGCGCATTCTCCTCAATTATTTTAAGACCTTGAGTGTTGGTCCAGCCGGGGCTTAAACCATCGACCTCGACCTCCCGCACAACAGTCCAGTGCTCTAACCAATTGAGCTAACCGGGAGGCGATTTTTTGGTATGATATCACAAATTAATTAAATATTAGGATCATGAGAATAAAAAAAATGATGACCAGGTAAAGAAGCTCAGGATTTTTTAGCAAATTTTCCTTTTCAGTATCATAGGAAGTGCATAGAGATTATAGAGAAGGTAGATACTGATGTTGCACTGCAGTTAACCATGATTATGAAAAGTCATTATTATAGAAATTTTGATATTTAAGTTAGAGCAGAGGTTTCAATAGAGAGATTTAGCATCACATTTACATGAAACAGCAAATTAATGTCAGTTTGCCCTTCCATTAATTACATTAAATTAATTAATTAATTTAATTAATCAATTTAATTAATTAATTTAATTAATTTAATTAATTAATTTAATTAATTAATTCCTTTTCACATAAAATGGCATGAACCTTGCTGCTTTTGCACCCTGTGAGCTCACGTCATGTTGAATTTAAAGGTGCCCCTGTATGACTTACAAGGAATAGTTTTGGTGCCCTTTTCCAGGCAATCAACTTCTTCTCTCTTAGAGAAAAAGTGAAGAAAATCTTATGTACATGGAAAATGCGAAACAGTTTACTTTCACATAGAAACAGCAAGGCACAAACAGCAAACAAAAAGTACCTGTGGATTGTTTAATAGGCAGCTGAGCCTGGAAAAGGGGCTGTAAGCAGTGCTTTCAATAAGATTTGAAATAGGTGGCTACCTTGGTACAGCACCCGCCAGAAAGCAACCTGAGTTCGACTTGAGGGTGGTGACCATGACTTGAACGCAGTGAAATATAGACGACGACTCACAACAGAATACGTGCTGGAGCTGCGGCGGGTGCCAGGTCTTATTAAAAGCACTGTGTAAGGCCCCTTTCTCCCAGACGGGGCTGGGGGGAATACTCCTACAGGAAAAATTTGAAATCTGAAAATTGGGGAAATGTGATTTCCAGCATTCTGGGCATCTGCTGAGGCTAAAGAGACAGCCATGAGAGGTCTTGCATGTGACAGTAGACTGCCACTAACCCTTAGTAAAGTCAGCAATCGTGGCAAGTGACTCAGCTGTCCGGAGTTTATCCTGTTTCCTCAGCCTGGAGCAACTACGAATATTGCTGCTAGTTTTAACAGTTTTATAAAAATAAGTTAATCCTCCCACCCCCAACAGGACTTCCGTGTTCTGACTCAAAGCACGTTTTTTGTTGATACCTGCAGTAAGTTTTCATCATTCAATGCTTCTAAAGAGCTTCCCTTTGATCTGGAGGATGCACTGCTTCTGTGGATTAACAAAATCTCAACAGTGTTGAATGAAAATCAACTGAAAAAGCAGAAGCACCATGCTGAACAACTTCTGCAGAACCAAGACAAAGCCAAGCGATTCAGGTTTCGCCGTGATCAACTCCAGCCAAAAGTACAGACAGTATTTCCTTTAATGGAAGAACTTTTGAAAGATATCAGCAATGGAAAAAGTTTGCTTGGAATTTTAATGTTCTACCATCCAACCGTGATTAACATTGAAGGTACATTTTGGTGAACAATTATGTAAACCTCAACGATGTTTGTTTGATTGTGTAATCTGATTGTCTAGGTGGGGGTAGTCCTGAGAAGGATTGTGGTCCATAGTGCATGATGACTGATGTTTTGACAACGTCAGTGAAAGTCATCATCAGAGTCAAGTGGTCAAAAGCTAATTTTGTTTGGTTTGGTTTATAGCAATTTATTCTAATTTAGTTGAGGAGTTGGTACAGTTTGTGCTGTAATCTTTACATTGATGTCATCTCTCTTCTTAATTTTCAGATGTGCGCCTGGAGAAAAATCTTGCAACAGGTGATTGTGTCCACAATCTAGACTTATTCCGCTCTCTTTGCAGTCAATTCATTTGCACTTCTGTCCTCGCTTTAAAAGTTGAAGATTTACTGTATGGATCACAAGCAATGAAGCCTAATGTTATCGCACTTCTAGCTGAGGTATTCCAGAAATGCAAAGTAGAATCAATGTCTGAAAACTTTGTTGTTTCAAAACAGACTTCTAAGTCAGATGCTGACTTACGGCACATTCTTGCTAACAAAGAAGATGTGACAGATACTAAGTGTTCCAGTGCACCAGTCTTAAACTCTGATGAAAGTAAATATGCTTATGGGGGTGCAAGAGGATCCTTAAAGAGTAAAATTGAAAGATCATCATCGTTGTCTGGCAAGTTAACTGGCTCTGCATTAGATGCTGTTAAACAGGAGGACAGTTTTGTGAAGAAATTGCAAAGTGATGGTCAAATGAATTCAAACAGTCGACTGTCATTTAAGTCATCATTTCATCTGGATTTTACTGATGATTATAATGGCCAACAGCCCCCTTTGAATGGGTCACTACCAAATCAGGGTGATGAGAAAGACAATGAAAGAGTAAAAGAAAAAGAAAATCCATTCACTGGAATACTTCAGAGGCCTGTTCTTGCAGGTGATGCCAGGAAACACGGTAGCCCCCACACCACTCCTAGGCAAGAGGTTCCACTCTTGATGCGACGCAACAAACAGAAGCAAAGAACGCTTGATTTGGAAGACTGGGACATGCAACAAGGAGTTGGAGTAGTAGAAGGTAATAACAGTGATAAATATTCAACTGTGTCAGTTTTATTATTTCGTGTTTAATCAATTTCAATTGACAAAATTGTCAAATTAAGCCTTTATGATCAACTTCCTGATGATGAAATAAATTATTTTATATTAATTATTTGATAAATTATTAAATTCTTTTGACCAAAATAAGTTCATTTTAAGAACACAAGGAAACCACATATTAGAAATCAATGACTGAAGTGAAATGTCATTAAATGTTATCAGTAATTGTTAACCGTGTTGTTTCATTCTATAATGTTGGTTTAGAATAAGCTTAAGGCAATTAAAAGTCAAGCAAAGTAGAATTATTGTCAGTCAAAAGGTAAATTGACAGAAAAAGTATTAGTCAAGGCTTATCATAATTGTTCATTTTTAAACCTTTTAAAAGGCACTTAACTCCTTAAAAAAACAATTTAAATTGAGCTCCTGCCAAAAATTCTAAAATCTGAGAAAAAATGACATACTTAAGGATTTATGTTGTTTTTGTTGTAACCTCATTTAGAAGCATATTTTTTCATCATTTTTGTCTTGGCAAGTCATAATACATGTTGTGATAAAATGCTAATTAGCAAATTTGGCTTTTTTCTGGACTGAATTCATTTTGGTTCTTAAACTGGTTTTCCATAACTATTGTTATCTGTCTGATTAGAATTTATTTTCTGTCTTTAGTTTCTACATGCAGCTTTTATATTATAGAAATTTGTAGATTGTTATGTAATTTCCAAGTTGGGGAAAACCAAATAAAATCCAATTTGCCAAGGGGTTCAGAAATCCATTTCCTTTCTGTCAATTTGAATTATTCTCAAGTGAAATAAAGGAAATTATTTACCCTAAGGACATATCATGTGCTTTTTTGACATTAAAAATTTATAAGAAGAACCTAATAGAATATTCATGCTTGCACAATTGTGCAGTTTGGTACAACTCATTTGGTTTCTGTGTTGACACTTTTGTCTGGAAGGTATAACCTACGTAAAATCAAAGCTATCATGGTTTGTGTAGCTAGATAACAGAATTTTGTTTATAGAGAGATTATAAAGACTATTCCTTTGAGATTTTTGCCACTGACAATTTCAACAAAGGTACAATAATTTACCAATATTCATTCCTGTCTCAGAAAAATATTTTTTTATCTTAAACCTGGTGATATTCCAGGAGTTTGACTTGCATTGATGTATTTTTTATAGCAAGCAATATTGTGAACATCACAAACAACACTGGATGGATACATAAAAATAATACAGTGTTATTCTTGTTTTAACAAAATTTGTTTTGTATTTTTTTGTTATATAAATATTCAAATGTAATTTATTTTTGTAATATTTGGAGTTACCATGTGTCCTTGTTTTGTGAAAGCACACAGCAGTGCAGAGACTCGTAGCTTTTCAGTTTTTCTTTTTTTGTTGTTTTGAAATGATAGCATTGCTCACTAAACCTATGGCTGGAAATAATAATTTTAAAAGCTGAGTTAAACCATTTCAAATAAATCTAATTTTGCAGATAAAAGTATACTTCAAAGATACTTACAAGGTATGTTGCATCTTGATGTCACATTAAATTCTTCTAACTTATAAGGAAAGTTAAAAAATTTAAAAGAGACTGAATTTTTCAAAGTTTAAAAACTGTGATGTACATGTAGTTCCTATGATTACTTTATTTCCAAGATGTAGGTGGTAATTCTCATTAGTGAGAGCCATACACCCCCCTTCTATCTTGGTTTGGAGAATTGGGTGTTGGATAGATTTATTAGGGGTCTCATTACAGGCCTGGGCACCAGGCAAATTGACCAGTTGTGAGGACGACTTTTCCGACCTTGTTTGATGATCTGGAGGAAAGTTTATCTTACGAAGAAGTTAAGTTCAAAAAGTTTTGTCCGCCTGTGGAAACCAGTCGCCCTTCTGCTGAAAACATTAATGAAACCCTTGATCTATTAATGTCCTTGAATGGGCAATTTTCTGACTGCTGATTCTCAGTTTTCTGATTATTTCTGTGTGCAAGAGTGTCATGATCTGTGAGGCATGCTAATTTGAAAATCTCATCATGATAATGCATTTTATCATGTTTTGATATGTCTTGCAGAACTGCATCTCAATGACTTACAGCGTTCCCAGTCACTGACTGGTCTTGATAAAGCAAAGGTAGAACCCAGGCAGTCATTCCATGCTTGGCAGGAGGACACTGTGGCAAGTTTGTCGGACACCAACCTGGCTTCAAGTAGGGGTGAGAGAATATCACTTGACTTTAGGTAAGTTAAAGTGTCAGACTGCATATTGCAGATCACAAGAAACCCAATCATGTTATGTTTTTCTTTACTGTATTCTGGCTACAAAGCCAGATTTAAGCTTTGGTTGGTGTCACTGTAATGTTTCTCGATCTGGGAAGTAGATGGGTTGACTGTGCTGTGTCTGGATTTAACCGTGCACTGGGGTCACTGTGTGGAGCTCCCACCTTGGAGCAGTGATAGTGTGTTGTTAAACTGGCAGGGTTTTATGCCAACATGCTAACAGCAGTTCAATGTTACTCTTGGCTTAAAGATAGCAAAGTGGTCCCATAGGTTAAGTGGCCTATAACTACTTAAGCTTACAAAGTAGGATCACTTTCAAGCATTCTGCATTCAGCACTCTGCATTTGTATTTCTATGTGGACCTTAGCTGAGTCCATGGTTCTCACTTAAGGTCAGGGCACACTAAGTTACAAATTATTTTCGCACGTTGCTGGACAAATAGCGGTATGGGCCCAACTCTTGTGACATGGGGAATCAGTCAAACAAGTGCAAACTGGTCTGAATTTGTGCGATTGACTGCAGAGAACAAATTTTGTGATTTATTAGTCCGAGTCTCTCCTTTTACCCATTAACATGTATCTCAAATCCAATTGTCCTTGATCAGACCAAACCCAACAGCAAGTGTTCCTCAGAGGAGTATTGAAGGTGGTGCCCCCCAGAGGGGTAGCCAGGGGACTCATGTGCCAATGAAGTCCTCAAAAGCTACCGGTGAAGAATATACATCACAGGACAGCCTGTTGTCCAGTCCTAAGTCAACAGACTGTCTGAATATGAAACCACTTGGAGATCAGCTGACGGAAAGATGGAGTTCTTTGCCTACAGGTTCGAGAAGCCACAATAATGAATCCTAGAACTGATATAACTATGTACTTATTGACTGAGGTGGCAGTGGGAGGTGCCGGACGGGAAATATGTCATAATCAAGAGCAAAATATTTTCCTTGCTGCCCCCCAACTCAGTCAATAAGCACTATATCTTTTGGTATTAAAAATTTCAAAAATTTTGTTTGAACCTAAATATGGCATACTTGCATAAAAAAGAAGGCTGTTCATTGGACAAGAACTTTCGGACCGGCTCGCGTCAACCCGTCCGGCTTAACACACGTCAGCTTTTACAATGGTTTTGTATGGGATTTCTCAGGCGGGGCGGGGGCCGAACGGGTCGTATGATTGAATACATTATCAGGCAGACTTGTGATGGAAAATATAAACTTTAAAACCAAGAGGTGCTATCTTGACCTCACTTTAGTTTTAGCAAACTCACCTGAGTTGTTTGCAAACTCACTTAGGTTGTCGATGAAGATTGAAAATAGTTTTATAATCTTAGAAAGTGTAAAATTCTGAAAAAAGGCCAAAACAGAACATTGTCTTCATCGTCCTCAGGTGTTCGCGACAGAGGTGTGCGTGACAGAGATGTGCGTGACATAGATGTGCGTTACAGAGATGTGCGTGACAGCTGTATGAGCGACATCTCGACTAAAGAACTGAAACAGTTTGAGGAGATCGAGGCCATGATTCTTGAAGGAAGAAGTGTTGAAACTCCTCGCAGGTTCGAAAAGCCGAGCAAACTTCCCTATGCGTCCGAATCTCAAGATGACGACGATGAACTTAACATGAGTGTCAGTAGTGAGGACATGAACAAGTTTAGACTGGAAGTAATGCAGCGGCTCACAGAGGACAAGTTACGAGAGATCCCAGATGGACCGGTAATAGAGATGGAAGACGATGATGATCCTATAATGCTCGCCCGCAATAATGCGGCCAGCAGTCCTGGGAATCCTACGGAGCGCACGCGCCTTGATGCTCCAGACATGCCAAAGGAAGTTCCAACGGATCAGCTGTCCCCGATAACGGAGGCGACGGAGCCTTGTCCGTCTATCGCGTCAAATCCAAACTCGGCGTCGAATTCCACCGCCCCCAGCAGCCCGTGTTCGCCTTTAGACGTTGCGCCGTTTATGCCTGCGTTTTTTACAACCTCCCCTGCGAATACGTTGGATAGAAAGATGCAACGATTTAGTCTGAAGGACAGAGACAACACTTTGGTTGCTAATGAAGATGAAGATGAAGATGACGGCTTTTTTGGTAATCCTGAACCTAGTGCCACGCCCAGATTTAACAAAAGCGGGGATTGTTCATCCAGGAGTAAGTCCTTCGAACAGCTTACACGTGGTAGCTACACTGTGGGTCACGTGCCTGTGGAAACGGCCAAAGCGGCTGGTATCCCTGTGATTAACGCAAGCACTGAAGAAACTCGTCCCAGGGCGGACTCAAATCCAGAACTAAACGGTGTTTTACCGGGTGGAAAACTCAGTCAGAAAGAAACTGATGCGAGTCAGGATTTGTCTGCATTTCGACCGTATGTGTTGTCCTCTAATGAGGACGAAATGGGAGAGATGTTTGCACCCGAAGGCGTGGACGGGAGGCGGGACTCCCTTGAGACTTCGCCCGCGCATTCACCCGCACCCGTTATAATCCGTGGGAAACGGGATGACACTCGACCGGAAGCTGTTCTCCGATCTCGTGATCTTCATGCACTGGACAGTCCGGGAGATGTGGTTATTTTCGAACGTTCTTTGTCGAGCTCGCACGAGACTCGGGAAAATGCTCCAACTGAAAACTCGAAAGAACAGGGCAACGAAAGCGCGCAGACACATTCCACATCTGTCCACCGATCAAAGAAAGCGGAAGCGTTCGTGTTTGATTTTGATCAAGGTGTTGTGCAGAATTATGAAAATAACCTTGCCACGCAAGACTATGGAACTTATAAAAAAGGCAAACATGGTAGTATTGGTGATGGCAACACTTCAATGAAGGGCAACCAGGTTCTTAATAGGTCACAGGGAGACCACTTTGCAACATTCAGCAGAAACTCTCCGAGAGGTACACAAGATCACAGACCTCCAAGCGAGCAGCAACAGGAATTAGCCTTTAGTCGTGAAGGAAGTGTTGGTATGAAAGATCTCCGAGCCTCTGACGGATTTTCAACGTACAGGAAAAATTCTTTACCTGAAAAGAAAGCAAATGATGCGAATGGAGTCTCTGGAACAGTTGGCAGAAGCTGGGATTTGCGGAGGTCAGACGGTTATTCAACTTTCAGGAAGGAGTCAATGCCTTCTTCAGCAGAAAGTACGTTGGCGAAGTATAATATGGCCTTCATCCAAGGTCAGAGAGGGAACGACACTGATCCATTTTCAACATTCGCCAAATCTGCCCAGAGACAGGAGAGTAACCAACATCGCCATCAAGTCGAATTAAACCACTTTCCTGAACAAGAATCAACATCAGCTGTTTTTAGAGGACCTACCTCGAGCAGGGAAGGGGAGACTGAGATTGACACCGTCCCCAGAGGGGGAGATGAGGAGCCAGTTCGCTCACCTGGTGCGTCAAACATTTTGAGGTCCCGAACCTTTCGAAAAACATCGAGTGGTCAAATCGTGGAGGATGTTAGTATTGGTGCAAGGAGTTCTCCATTGCATAACGAGTTACGTTCTTCAACAAAAAATGACAGTAAACCTACTGGACAGCAGACTGTAAACACACACATCCGGAATAGCTCAGAGGGAACCGGAAGTGATAATCCACACCGGATCAGTTGGACGGATGATCAGGAGGCTGGGGCGAGACTGATCAAACAGCTGAATGCCAGTAAAGAAATGTCGGTAAGGGCAAAGCAATTTATAGAAAAATTCAAAAGGAGAGATACAACGTAAATGAAAAAGTGATTCCAAACAAGTGAAGTAAATGCCTTTTTTTCCAGATGCCAAACAGGAAAATAATGACAGTGGTAGTCCTAGAAGGCGTGGTAGCCCCAGACATACAGGCCGCGGGAGCCCTGGAGCGAGAATCAGTTGGCTAACTGCAGCCCGGAGTGGTGTAGGGGGACAAGTCATGTTGAACGACAAAGGTAAGGGAGGGGTTGGTAGAGGGTACTATAATCTATTTGTTTTTTCTCCTGGCTGGTTCTGGACTATGCAGCAAAGGTCCTATTGGGTGGTGGTGGGGAGGAGGGAAATAGGAAGTTACCCACCCCACCCCCTATCCGCACGCTCTCACAAAGGAATTGACGGCAAGTTCTCACTGAGACTAAACTGACAACTTTTTTATAACCATGATGAACCCAGAGGCGATAGAAATATGATCCCCTTTAGTAGGCAGATTTTTGCTGTGGTTTTGACCTGTGCTCGCCTTCATCTGTGGTAAAGTTAACGAAAATGAACCTATCTTAGGCCGTGGAATATCATGTCTTGCTTTCATATCCGGTCAATTTTTTTCTATATTCAATTTGATTGAAATTTTCTAAAACGCATTAAGACAATTTTAGACGCCATGCAATTAAACCCTTATCAACATTGACAGATCTTAAAAGTATAAGCAGGCAGAAGAGGTTTATGAATTCTGCTCTGCGGCAAACATTTTACGTCGAGAAACGGATGTTTGCCACGGGGCTCAAGGAAATGACTGCGAAATTAAGTGTCAAGAAAAAATTCGGCTACTCGGCTGTGATTTTGTGCAAGTTTTTATCCTTTTCCGCCGGTATTTATTTCAATCCGAGGTGTGGCGGACAAATGAATTTTCCTTGGCAAGAAATCCCGAAAGTAATTTCCATATCATAACAACCAGAACCCAGCGATCGCTTTTATTTAAAAATATCAAGTTGTGGCATTTTTCTGCTCCTGAATCGTTCATCTCTGTTGTACAGGCCTGTTTTGGATGTTAGTAGTGTCTTTATTAGTTTCTCGCAAATATTTTTTTTTAGCGAGCCGTGATTTTTTTGCGCGTTACAGTCCTTTCGTGCTTGTGTGTGACCGTGTTTATGCGTGAAGTTTACGACATCGATCTGACACGCCTGAGTGACGCTTAAAGCATTACTCATGGTGAAGACGCTCTTAAGCCGACACTTTTGGATTTAAGGAAACTTCTCCTGCCGCTGTGAATTTAAGGTAAGTGTTCCGACAGTCTTTTAACCATACTGATGAATAATATATGCGAAGTAATAAAATTGTTGATACATGCGATTCGCCCCTGGTGCCGTAATTTGCATGTAAGATCTGAATATATTAACTTGTAAGTCGTGGCACGATATATTTATATCTGAGTATTTTAATCGGATTTTGTGTTGTTTTTCGCCGTCTGTGACCGAGTGAGCTCTCAAATTTGCCAAGAGTCGCCAAGAGTATCACGTCTGAACCAATTCGAAACACAGAAATCGGGAAAATTGTGAACAGACTTAAGAATCGTGGTTTGTTTTGTAACATAAGCGTTGTACTGTTGCTTCGCTCATACTGTTGGATGTTGTGTGGGAAATATCGTTTATAAATTCAACGGCGGTGATGTCAACCGCCAGGAACGAAGGAGTTAGTGTCTGATTCGATCGTCATGTTTCCGAAATAGCTTCCACTCGTTTATATTGAGTCCTTAATTTAACACGCCTGTTGTGTTGTGAACATCACTCGATCGACCGACAGACGCGCGCAATGTTATGGTCGTCCAGTACTTCTTGGCTCGCCTTTGACCGCAGTTGATTTTTGTTATCTCGTGAATCTCTGCGATCTAACTTCAGTGGGAACACCACCGAGAAGTTCACGTAATCATAGGCGAGCACGCAGGGAAGATCGAAGAAGTTATTTAACAGGACCTGTCGTACACCACCGGAAGCCAACGTGTTTGTAATCTGGTGCTGTACTATTGAGTTCACCACACTGAGCGGTCTCTAATGCTCGGTGGAGAAGTGTTCAAGGTAGATAACTTGTTTATTGAAATCTTTACACAGGAGTGTTTTTAACCCGGCTTTTAACTTCGGCGTTCGCTCAAACGCGTCGTCTTTGAATCTCGGGTGAAATTCATGTTAGAGCAGGTTAGCAGTCAATATTAAATTGAATATAATACTGAACATTTTAGCAGCGGTATTTTATTTGTTTGTTTTTTCTTTTATCGCATCGACATTCGTTGTCAGCATAGAATTGAGGAGTGCAACTTTCCTATTTTCTTCTAAAGCTGTTTTCAACTTTTCTTAATTGTTCTTAATTGTTTTATATCCGAAATGTCACGTAATTTTGCAGTGAAATCGAACTCAACCGTGCTTGATAAAATATCCTAATTTTATTGAAGCACTTATGTAATATTTATAATATTTCTGTTAAGGAATTATATTCGCCCATGCTCTGTTTCTGAGGTTGAGAGGTGTTTGTTTTTGTTGAATTCTGCCTCTTTATCCTCTGTTTACTAAGCCAATTTTGACGAATGTAGTATGAATGACAAAATTACCGTCGTCTTGTTTACATTTTGTACATTTTTTGCTCGTCAGGGGTTATTCGGCGCCCTTGTGTAAATATGAAAATGATAAGTACCAATATGTGTATTCGAGATAGATGCTCACTTTGATGTTGCCGATTTTCTTGCCTTATAGTTGCTCTGTTTTGTGCGGAAGAGTGCTTCTAATGGCAGTCTAAACGCTTCGTGAAATGATAATTTTGGAAATAATGGCTGTCATGTTTCTTTAATTAAGGGAAAATACTAATTTTATTTCACTTATTTCTTTTGTTTTTTCGGAAAATGAAATGAATTGCTTAGGCAGAATTTTAGAAATAACCTTTTGACTTGGGCTCTTAAGGTGGAAACAAAACGACGATTCGGCAAATTTCCTGCAAGTTATGTTAATTTAAAAAAGAGATATAAATTAATAGAGTTTTATCTGTATAGAACGGTAAAATGGGATGCGAAGTCACGACACTACTGGAATGTTTTAGTCTTCCACCAGGTCTAGCTATTAGCTAGAAAATCTGTCTTCCAGTTTAGCGATATATATTTATATATATCTTTATATATATGAGTCATCCGATTAATTTGGATGGTGATTATATATAGATATATATATATCAGTTTTTACATGCAAAGGCCCACCGCAATGCTTCAGAAATATTGTAATGTGTCGCTTGTATCAAAAGTTTTGTCGAAATTTTCCTTTTAAATACTCTTTTTTATTTTCGAAGGATAAACATTTTTTAATGTTCGTTATTTCTGTAGATCGCATGCAGAAAGAAGCTACAACAGAACTTGCCACTGACGAAAAATCTCATGGGCGACCGTGTTTCATAGCAACAGCGGTTATCCTTCCTAAACACATGCGCAATACTGAGGAAACTCCATGGAGTGTGCGTGAAAATGGAGCCAAAGATGAACCTGTTGGTTTGGGGCAGAGAGCAGGTGTTCGTTTTGATCCGGAAGATGACGCATGTGTAGTTGAATCAGGATCGTTATTGAAGAATATTGGTGCAACTAGATTGGATGGTGATTGTAGTTCTTCTAAAGAGATATTTAAAAAGGAAAGTAATATGTTTCACGGTGAGACTAGTCTCGAGGCGGACGTTCAGACAGGTGGAAGTATTCGTGATAGAATAGCGGCGCTTAAGGCCACCTCTGGTATGAAAACACTGGCTGTTACTCCAGAAAGAGAGCTGGCGAAGAAACCTTTTACCAAACCTGCCGTTAGATCGCACGAGGATGAAGAAAATGAAGAAAATGAAGAAAATGAAACAATGAAAGCAGATTTAAGAAGTGAATCTCCAAAATCGATCAAAGTATTGTCGAAGAGAGAAACTCAATCTGAGATGTCTCAGGTCTCTCCAAGGAATAGCATCGCGTTCAATGTGGGATTACAAAATGCGGCAAAAAGTCGACTGCCACCTCGTTTGTTGGCGAGATTTAAAACTGATGATTCTGAAGCGAGAAAGGAAGAAATTGTTTCAGAATCTCCGGCTGTGAATAATAAAGAAATTGGGGCCGTTAGGGACAAAGTTTTGGCCTTTGAGGTCAACTTTGACGATGAACCGCGTTCAAAACGCGTTAAGGATGAAGCTTTTCTGATGCAATCACCATTCAAGGCCCTGAAAACGCGTTCTAACCTCAGACGTCAACAGAACTCAAAGCCGTGCAAGCCAATCAGAGCGCAAGAGGATTTGGAAGATAACAAAACCTCTGAACTACCGAAGCTGCTCAAACGAAACACGTTCACTCTAGATTCAGTATCAGATCAAGGATCACCGATCGTTAAGGTTTTAGACGAGCTTGCTAGTAAGGAGGAAGGTAAACAGAATGGAGAAGTGGAGTCAGGCGAGCGTGGTACCAAACGCAACACCTTCACTTTAGAGTCTGTATTCCTTTCTAAAGCTGATATCACTGAGAATGGGCAGCCTGTGATAAACTTACTCAACGACTCGGTGATTAAGAAGGAATCTGATCAAAGTGAGCAAGAAACAAACATTACAACGTCTTTGTCAAACGAAATGTCTCAAAAAAGAAGCACGTTCACTCTGGAAAGTGTAGCAATTGAATTGGACTCAGCGATTGGACAAGAAGAGCAAGGGGTAAAACAAAATGAGGCTGAAAAATTTCATCAAGGCACCATTACTGTCGATACGCTCACAAAGCAGACTTTGACGTCAGAAGAGGAACTTGTGACCTCCGAGAAACGTTCAACATACAATTTAGACGCGGTTTCGTCGTCGTTGCAAAGAGGAACTGACAAAGGTGCACTTGTAGTTGAAGTTTTAAATCAGCTCGCTAAACGCGAAGAATTGCAATCGTCAGTCTGGAGAGAAGCTGACAGTTCACCAGCTGCAGCTGATTCTGTTAAAAAGCGTGATACGTTCACCCTGGATAGCGTGTCACAGACCTTAGACGATGAGGAGAAGAAAGGCTTGTCTACAGTGGAGGTGTTAGATCAGCTTGCGTTCGAACAGGAGTCCACTTCATCGACTGATATAAACTCAGGAGAAAAACTCCATTCAAAGACTTCTCAAAATCGTGGCACCTTCACCCTGGACAGTGTTTCGCAGACTCTAGAGGATGCCGAGTGCAAAGGTTTGCCGACAGTTGAAGCGTTAGATCGGCTTGCCTCCGAGCAGGAAACTCATTTGCTCCCTAATGCTTCATGTGAAGACCAAATGAAAATTGGACCACCTCAAAACCGTGGCACTTACTCACTGGACTCCGTATCGCACGCTATCGAAGAAGCTGTAGAGAAAGGAATTCCAGTTTCCGTCACGTTAAATCACTTAGCTCAGGAGGGGACGAACCATGCGCATGCTCATGGCGATGCTTCCTTCGAACCCAGACCCTTCGATGCAGAAGAACAGCCGCCTGACGATCGAGACGAGATCGAAGCCCGTTTCGAGGATGCTTTGGAAACACTGGAAGATTGCTTGACTTTTGTATCTTTCCCATCGGCTTCTGATCGTTGAAGATCGTATTCTGATAAGAGGCAATCGTATACTGACCGAAATCAATCGTCTAATGATCGGGCACAATTGTCATCTGATCAAGAACGTTCTTCCGAGGCACCTAGAAAGCGTGGCACGTACAATCTCGACGATGTATCCAATTCTGTCGAAGTTGGCGCCAAAGTTGGAATCCCTGTTATTGAAACGCTGGAGCAGTTGTCAAAAACAAAGAACCGTCAAGGGCGATCCTTCCAAGAGACTCGCCAGTTGGAGCAAAATAGAAGAACTTATACGCTGGATGAAGTTTCCTTTTCACTTCAGAATGCTTCAGAGAAAGGTATCCCAGTGGTTGAAGCTCTCCAAAACATGACCAAAACCACCGAGCTAGCTCGAGGGACTGATAGTGCTCAGAAGCGAGGCACATACACTCTTGATGATGTATCAAAGTCGCTGGAGCGCGCTAAAAGCACCGGGATGCCCGTTATTGAAGCACTGGAGTCTTTATCAAAAGAAATGTCACCGAGTGCGTTAAGACTTAAGATACCCGAGAGAGGCGGCGAAAACAGAGGAACTTACACTCTAGATGAAGTGAGTCAAACACTGGAAAAGGCAAAACAGAGAGGTCTCCCTGTTGTGGACGCTCTAGGGCAGCTTACATACCCTAAAGACGTTGTCTCTCTCAGAGGAACGCCTGATGCTGTCCATCGAAGACAAGAAAAACTGGTTAACAGGAAGACCTACGCGCTGGCCAGTCCCCTAGAGACAATTGGTGAAGGAACGAAGTTGCGCCTGTATGATGGCAGCCAGCGGCAGATGCTATCACCTCTGAGTATTCACATGAAAACAAAAGAAGCCACTCAAGGGAAAGAAAACAGCAGCGAGAGCAAAGCGAAAGGCTTAGGTGTTGTGCAGAAGTTGGATTTCTTGACTTCAGCTTGCGAGCTTTTGTTGGAGGCAAATGCAAAAGAAATGGCTCGAGATCGAGTGCAAACAACTTTGGAGAGTTCTCGGGAAACCACGACGATTGACGAATCCTTACGAACCTTGCCGAAGACTTCTAAGGACGGTAAAGAATCTGATCGCCGTACGTATTCATTAGACAACATTTCGCAGACAATTGACGATGCCACAGCCGTAGGAACTCCAGTTGTAGAAGCTTTAAAAAGTGTGACACCTGAGGCCAAAGCAAAGACAATTTACAGAACTAATCTCATGCGACTGAATTCAAAATCCGACTCGGATCTTATCCACGATGAGACCGATAAAAAGTCGTCGGAGAGGAGCAGTCATTCACTAGAGGACATGTCAGACGCTAAGAAAGCTGGAATTCCTGTGATACAAGCTCTGGATCAACTTGCCAAGGATCTCGTGGAATTTTCAAAAACAGCACTGGGCGAGGATGTTAAGATTGTCTCAGTTGGGAAAGAAAACCGTAAGAGAAAACGCCATTCGGAAGTAATTGATCGCGGTAAGAAGACACCTGTTTTGCAGTCGCCACACCCCTTTGCCCAAGCGTCACCTGACTCCTCGTCCATGCGGAAAGCTCACTCGTTAAATGATATAGCTTCTGCTGTGCAGCTCGCTTTCCAAACTGGTACTTCTCTAACGGACCTTTTAAACACCATTGCATCTGAAAAACTGGTCGAACAGGTTTCATCTTCTAGTGACGTCCGACCGCGATCGGTCGATTCCGGATTTATCTCGTCACTCTCCGACTATGATATTTCGTCGCAAAGCGTAGATTCGCCGCGTAATCGAAGCAACACGTTTATTCTTGATAGTTCGAACGAAGAACTGGATTTGGTAAAACTCCTGGGTCCCGAATTAGACACGACGTCCAACGAAAACCGTCGAACTTTCACTCTTGATCACGTGAGCGGCTCGGTAGAACACGAAGTTTCACGGGGTGTACCTGTAATCGAGGCTCTGAAAAAGCTCTCAAACAACTCTGAGCTGAAAATGCAAAGAAATGAAAAGATGAAAGGTCAAAGAGACACCAAAAATAAATCGACAGAAATGTCAGACAAAACAGCGATAAACAACTCTGTGAAAAAGAAGTCGCCTCCGAAGCCGAAACGACAAATATCAAAGAAAACTGCATCACCGCAAACTGACTCGGACGCGTTTGTAGTTGAGTTTTACTCCTCAAGCGGTCAGCAGGGCCAAAACACGTCCAAATTTCAGGTTATGAATGATAAGGTTGAAGAAGTGATTACCAATGATGATGAATCTAATTTCAAAAACTCTGACGGAAAAGTGGAAGGGAGTGAAGAAAAATCAGACGATACTTCGTCGTCGTTAGAAAAGGTTCCTAAATCGAAGGGGCTTAAACCTGTATCGACGAGCGCACCCTCCCGAGAACGTGCCACCTGGCGCCCAAGCGGGAGTGTATTGGACAAGATTGAGAGTCTGATGGATGCTGCAGGGGATTGTGGGTTGTCGCCTTCTGATATTCTCGATCAAGTAACTGACCTACCTTGTGATTTTCAAGGTTTGTTTGTTATAAAAATAGAACCTGATAGTTCCATTAGTGATCAAGGTCAAACCTTCCATATCGTCAGTATTAAAGGTGAAATCAAAGGCTTTGTTTTGTATTAACTGCTGGAGTTTCCTTTGGTCGGGTATCATTGCTGTTCAGGGAAATATTTTTGCTGAGTCAGGGCTGTTTGCAATTGACTGGTAGAAACTCATGTTATCTTCCTTTTGTCTTCAGTTCAGTACCAGCCAGTCTGCGTCACGTAACTTAACAATTTGAATGTAAAGTTTCGACTTTTCGTCGTGAAAATCATGTTTGATTTACGCGAGGTAGTCTCTGAGCCGGGTGTCTTTCTTTAGAGCATTCTCCAGTGTTACTCCTCGTCACTGGACGGAAGAGTCAGTGGCCTGGTGTCAGCGTGCTGGACTCCGGATCGAGCGATCTGGGTTCGAGATGTGGTCAGGTCATTGTGTTGATTTCTTGAGAATGACGCTTTACTACCACTGTGCGTCTCTCCCTCAAGGAGTTAAAAGAGACATCGGTAAAGTAGAAGGGAAATTTAATGAAATCCCTGGGGTAGGGGATGGGGGTTAGCTCAAGGGGTTGCCTACAAGATAGATCAGTCTCACTAAAACTCCTTGTCACCTCTGGAAGGAGCGCTTGGCACTTACAAATGATTTTAATCAATGTTTTGCTCCTAGGTGAGATTGAAGAGCCGGAACAGAATGAAGCTGAAGAAGAACAAGCTGTTACGTCGCAGATCGCCTATCTGCGCATGCAGTTGGAGGAAAAACGGCGTCATATCGAGGCAGAGAAACATCGAGCCCAGGCCGAGTGGGAAGACCAGCGACGGAGATTGGGACAGACTGCCTTTTGGTATGTTATTGGAAAGGCGCAAGGAGGTCCGGGCGTTGGAGAAGGGACTGGAAATGAGGTGAGTGTGTAATTCTGGAAATCAACGTGTTCTACGCAGCTAACATATGGTGAACTTTTACAACCATTCTTTCGTCGAGATTTGATAGTTTTAATGATAATGAAGAAAACACGCGTACAAACCGAGCAAACGTTCCTTGAGATTCCTAGGTGGTCAGAAGAATTCTCTTCATTGAAAATGCTATTTAAACTTTTAGGCAGTGCGTCCGGAGAAGGTTCCTGTTATGACGCCTCATTCCCACGAAACTCCGAGAAAACCTGTGTCCGAGTTTCCCACTCAGTCTTCGCCTCCCGTCGCCTGGTCATCCCCAGCAAACTCTCCGCTGCCTGCTAACGCACTAGAGTCCAATCCTCCCAATGGCGCAGGGCTTGAGACTCGTGAATTTCGTCTGTCTGATTATCCACCTTTTGACAATCAGGGAACAGCGCGCCCGTCATCCCAGCCAGCGGTTAAAGTCGGCTCAAGGCCCACGCCGGGACCACCACGTCCAGCTTCACACGAACCAGCGGCTTCCCGCCCCAGTCCCACACGAAAATGCTGGGATGTCAACGTGGGGCTAGTACCTACCCCTTCCCCCTTGGTGCATCCTGACGCGGAATCCGACGCTAAAGAAGATTCAAACAACTTTGGAGGTACGGGAGAGATTGAGGTCGAGGTCCACACCCCTCAGAAGAAAGGAATGGCGATGTTTATCAGCGATGATGATAATCCTGCACCGCAGGTAAATTAATGATAATGATAATAATAATAATAATAATAATAATAATAATAATAATAATAATAATAATGACTTTATTTAAAGAGGGTATACACATAACAGCTTGCGCTGATAAACCAGTGGCCCTCAAATTATTTTGGACAGGGAGGTTAGCATGGGTGAAAAGTTGCAGTGGAAAAAATCTTTTCGTGGAATGTTAGCCTTGTCAATCTGCATATCTTTGCTTTCCTCGTCAATACAGGGGTTGACTCCGGAACAACAACGCAAGCGGGAGAGGTTTATGAAGGCTCGACAAAAGAAACAGGCAGAAGAAAAGACACGAAAGGAGGCAGAATTAGAGAAAAAGAGACGGTAAATGGAGGAATAGAGTTTAAGAGACCAAGAAAATAATCAAAAATGAACTTTATCTAATTTTTGGATTTCAACTCTGAACCTCTGTCTTAGTCTAGCCGGCTTTCAAACCAGGATGACGTCAAAAAAACAGAACAAATTTCAACCGAGTGTTCAAAGGACTCCGGGTTGCTTTGGTTTTACTCAACCAATCAGGAGCAAAGCTGAAACTAATCGCGACGATCGCAATTTGGTCGCCCGCGTTTTCCCGCGCTTTAGGCTGCTTGTTGTTTTCCTTTTTATTACGTTGAGTTCTCATTGGCTATTCTGATATTTTACTTTGTTATGATTGCCCGCTGCGATAACTATGATATTGTTTGTACACCACCCGATCAAAATGCATTGTTTTGAAAAAATGGTAGAAACTAAATACGTTTTCCATTTTAAAGGAGGGAAGAAAAACAACGCGAGAAAGAAATGCTTCTAAGATTGGAGGAGGAGAGGTTACGTCAAGAGGAAATAGAACAACGAAAAGCCGAGCAGGAACTGAGACTTAAAGAGGCTCAGGCTCACCCCGCGCGAATCCCAGACTCCTATGCCACTTATCGTCGCCCAGGCCCCCAGCAACATGTATATGACGTCAATGACGATACCTCCACTTACTTAGCAACAGCCCCCTCGCAACTTTCCGGTTTTGCGGAATTCAGTGGTACGTTAACTTGTTGATTGTGCTGGGAGTTGTTTGGGAATACAGATTAAATGTGGTGGTTAATTTGTCTTTTTTAGGGCCGCAGTGTTACGTAAAGCCAAGCGGAAAGTCGAATAGAAAAATTATCGTGAATGCCATATCTCATGTGTGTTTGTCAGGCACAGTGAACCAGGATCAGAAAGAAAAATGTTTACAGGTTTGTAGAAGTGTTACCCTTTTGACGGTAAAGTGACGCTATTTTCTTAGTTCTGCGGGGTCGTTTAACCCTTGACATCCCAACAACAGTATGCTTATTCTCCTTGCTGTTCTTTAGATATTTCATAAAATGCTCACAAGGAGAATTTGTTTCACAATCAAGAGCTTCTTCAGTCGGTGATCATTTCTTTTATTCGGCTGACCTTAATGTGTGATTCAGGGCTGATATTGTAAAGAGAAATAAGTTGCTTGTCACTTACTTGTCAATGGGTCAACCTTTTCACCTCCAGGTATAATCAGAAGCTGAACTCTCTTTTCCGTTTTCAATACTCTGTCAAACGGAGAGATAAAGAGATTATCAATAATACTCGATTGCGGGATCTTAGAATTTGAAGGTTAAGAATTCTGGGTTAGTTATTATCATTAAATTGTTTGAAACTATGTCGACTTTACACCTGTGGTCCTGGTAATGGAAGGAGAAATCAAAATCTTTTCTTCTTTCCTTTTTTTTTTTTTCAGGCTATCTCAGAAAACGACGGCCATCACTTTATGATTTTATTCAAAGACGGACTGAAGTTCCGTGGGATATATGTCCACAACCTTGAAAACGATCAGGTGAATTCTCGTTGATTTGTTGATCTTGGTTAACCTGTACGACTTTCCAAGATGTCCTCCAGCCTCAACAGACCTCCCCGACCCCTGCAAGGATTAAACATTCTCCCCCCTCCCCCCCTCCCCCTTTTTGTGTTGCTACAGGCCTCTTGAATTTCCGAGGGGGAAAGCTGTGTGAAACGGATTCAAGTCTGGTAACTTTGAGCAGACTTTTTTTGTTGTTGTTTCCCTAAGTAATAAGCATCTTCGCCCTTTATTTACCATGAGTGACCAAGACAGAATTTCTCCCTACAATATCAATACAATACCAAGCAGACAAGTGATGAGAATAAAGAAAAATATCATTGAGGGAATAATAAGTTGATCCAATGCTGAATTCTCTGAACTAATGTCATAAGAGCTGTTTGGCAGACAGTAAGGAGAATAACTGATAGCATCTTCGAAACACTTAGGACACCGACAAACTATTCGATGAACTTTGTAACCCTTCTTAGTTACTTGGTGTATTCTTTTTTTTTTTAGCAAAGGTCTGTAACAAGTAATTCGGCAAACTTTGAATTCTGATACAGGCAGTAAAGAACATTGTATTCGGAGGAATATAGTTTTCGAGATGAAATCTAACCTTAATGATTTCTTGTCCACAGTTGTTCAAAATCTTTGGAATAGGACCTCGTGTTATCACAAACAAAATGATTGAAAGTCTATACAAGTAAGTAAGACACATTACTACGTTACTTTGGTGTACTGACCTGATGGGTAGCATGTAGGACTTGGATGCGAAAGCTCTGGGTTCGAGACCTGACTGGGTCGTTGTATTTTGTTTCTGGGCAAGACAACTTTATCTCGCTGTGCCTTTCTTAACGCGTTGTGTAATAAGCTATTGAAATATGATCAGTGAAACGTGACAAGATACGGTCGTGTTACCCGTGATGGACTAGAATTGCCACGGGAGGGAGGGTAAGTTGTACTCTTGTCGTTTCGCGCTACAGAAACCGAGTTGGTTATGGCAGCGCTACGAATCAGTCTCCATAGCAAACTTTGCTTCGCTATGTTACCAGAAAAACCTAACGAAGTAACGATGCATTTTTTTTGTCTAAGGTATAACAGTGGAGGAAAAGAATTTACAAAGATTCCGTCCAAGACTCTATCCATCTCTGTAGACGGCTTTGCGATCCAGAAATCTTGTTGGAATACTGGTAAACCTGTAGTACAATCCAAGACGTCATCCAACATGAAGAGACCTCCCCGACCCCCGCAGAGATGAAATACCTCCCCTGTACTACTACTCTAGGCGTTTTTAATTCCGGAGGGGGATGATCATGTAAAAAATTATTTACGTTCTTGTTGCGTTTTGTTCCATCCTTTCGTGTTTTTTAGGTAGCTAACATCGTCAATCTTCAACTTGTGAGTTCTGAAAATATTCACACTAGAATCTTAGGATCGTCGTTGAAAGGTGTTCCTCTAAAAAACATCTGTGGGCCGTTAAAAAAATGAAGAAACATTTACGTTGAAAATACCACTCACCATAAAAAGCTACCTCTGAGAAACATTCATCATCTCCATGTCGAATTTCTTGTCGCCGATATGACGTCAGCAGTGAAGGTCACGTGGGATGTTGACTGCACGATTCACTTACCGCTTGCAAGGTCAAAATAGTAAAACTTTTAGTGCTTGTAAGATCGTTAAATTGCTCAAAACATACCTTTTGTCCCTCCCCAAATGAGAGAGGAAGAGTCATCCTTTGCTACACACAAGCAGTGATCATTTTAAACCAGAACGCACCGGCATGAACTTAGTTTCGACAAGCGGGAAAAATTGCACGCAATTAAAAGAGGAATCAGTAAGGAAGTAACGGTTCACAAAAAAGTTAGAAATATTTATTGCTTCTATTTATCAATGAAGCTATTTAAAATACAGTATGTTATTGTTAAAAGTTACTTTGACAGATGTTTTCTGACAGAGGTGAATTTAAGTATTTTTATTGGTTACTTACTAAAAGGTTATATACCCGGTTTGAGAACAAAGTTTGTGTGGAAATATTCCACTTAAGTGTTATATGTTTGAGAAAGAGCAATAGATCTACGAAGAAAAAGAATTAAAAGGATATAAACTGTTGTTACTGTCGATGTAAAGCTTGGAATTGATAGTGAATTCTTGCCAAGAAGCACTGAAAAAAATATAACCCGTAATTCTAATCTGTAAACCTACTTTCGTGAAGAGTTTTCAATGCAATAGAAGTTGCGTTATGGGCCATTCAATTCCCGCCAAACCTTGCTGATGACGATTGCAATTCAGATATTACAGTCTCGCATCAAAACAAACTTACGTATTTACTGAAAAGCGGATTTGTGTGAATTTAAAATTGCCTTTAAAATTTGCTCTATACCTCTGGGAAAGAAAATCTAAAATTTCGTTAACGAAACAAGAGGCGACTAGGTTTTGCTCTCCTTATCTGTTAATCTCTCATGGACCCTGGGCACTAAACAGTGTCGTTTTCCTCTTCGTGTTAGCTATTTGGAACAGCACGTGAGATATCACAAGACCTGACTCGATTGGAGACATCTTGAGGGTAGACTGGAAACAAATCTGACGAGATATTGCGATTAGAGTCCAAAGAAGTCACAGGATACGTGGCAGAACAGGCAATTTATGTCAGTTGTCTACCTGCTAAAACGTGGAAATACATATCATGAGATAAAGTTTCTGAGGAAACTGGTATTCTGAACTGCATTGATGCTCAAGAACAACGAAAGATAGCGAAGGCAATTTATTATATTTACGTTAAGAAAACAGTTCGTTGAAGACGATGGGGAATTACTGCTGTAGCCGCGAATCACCTGATGCTGGACGACCGTTGCTTTACGAAAAGATAGGCCCTGAAAACGGCGAGAAAAAAGAAGGAAGCGCTGATGAAGAAAAAACTGCAATACTGGAAACTCATGAAAGTAACACTGAAAATACGGGACCTAAAGAACTGTTCAGCGCGGATTGATTTTCACGGGGGAACTAATTTGTTTGATATTGAACAAAGATGGCCAAGTCCGCAATTGGAAACCATCGGAAAGTAACATTTTTAGAGTTAATTAATAACTTTACTCCAAATACTTTGGCAATCTTTGTGGAGTACTGCCAAAGATGTGTATCCGTCTGAGAAATTTTTTGATCGATGTGTTGTAAGGAGAGTAGGACAGCGACGTCACACCGTGGAACAAAACAATGTGGACTCAACTTCTTTTTTAATATTTTATGCAAATTTCGTCTAATTGTGAGACAGTGGGGCGGATTGTGGTCTTGTGAAATTCTGAATCAGATAAAAAAAGATGAAAAGAAAATTCGTATGTTATTGATTTCAGGAAGCCATCTTTATAATTTTGGTTTAATGCCTAATCAACTGCCGAAAGCGTTTACGAAATCAATTCATGTGAAACGTGTTTCTATGGCGCGGAAATTGTACCAGAAAAATTTAAACTCCAGCAAAATAAATTAGACTCAACGTGTTCCTATTACTTTGACAGATTATCTTAACATGTATGTGGTGTGTTCATTGGCTTAATTTCTAGTCATAATTCACGGATGTATACCATAGAAATCGCACCGCAATCTTTGAGGAACAGCTGCCATGTTGTCTCTCAAGAACAAGGTAACGAAAAACATTGATCAGATTCCAAGTTTTAGGTACATTTTAGGTGATATTTTCACCGTGTTTAGGAAAGAAAACACAGCTGTCCCAAAACAAATTTTTTTTCGCTGCAAATTTGCACCGTGTACTGACTCAAAAATAGAGGACATACTTTAAACATTTTGTGGCTTCAATTGGTTCTAGGACTGTGAAAAATTTGCATTAATTTATTCGATGTTTCACACGCGCGGATAATTTTCGAGTTCTGTAGTACTTTTTACCTGGCTCCGTAGCGGCGAGTAAAGTACAGAATGTCCGCTCGTCTTGTTAAATCATCGAATAAGAGATTTACTTTTCCATTGTCATTTCATTTTCTAGTAAGTTGGCTGGCTTCTAGTTATTGAGCAGCGACTAACAAATTAAACCGCTTTCGTTTTCCCAGAAAACTTCTGTTCGATCAGATGGATATCTCAATAAAAAAAAAATGAATTATAATAGTTTCCGGACCAGCAAATCTCTTGTTGTTAATAACTTGAATAAATTTTGTCTTTTTAAAGGAGTCTTAAGATCGTCTTTCCTCAGGGTGTGATGAATGTAATGTAAAGGCTGTGATATTGCAGCATTTGTAAAATAAAATGTTAGTAATACTGAAATCAATTCGTCACAGCGATTGTTCACGACCCTCTATGAAAGGCCTCGTTTTTCAAGAATACTCACCATAACGGGAAATCTAAACATAAAACGAAAGTCGTTAGTCACGAAGAACAAATGAGAGAGAAAAAATAATTGATGACAATTATTAGACACGTAAGAGTGTTAAGAAAAAACTCTAGCCCAAGTATACTTTGTTTTCTCAAGAACGTTAAGCGTCTGTTTCTAATAACAATAACAAGTTGAACAATTGCATTTCAAGCAAAAGTCTTTTGATCCCGTAATCTTCTGTTTCAGGTCAATCATTCGTATACCAACTTTGAACGGCGAAACTTTCAGTTTTTTTTTTTAAGAGGGAAGTTTGATCTTGCATAAATTTTAATTCATGGGGGGATCTTTTAAAATGACTCATTAGAATGACGCGAAAATGAAATGTTCTTGTTTATCAAATGATTTTTTTCATGAGGTTCGCGACCAACTTAAACCAAATATTTGCCATACAAAAAGTATCTAAATCGTCTGTTTCTTTTAAATGGGAGATCTAGTGGCCTATTGCTTTTTTTGTTGTTGTTGCTTTTTTTTTTACTCACTTTGTATCGAGAATTTATTTCCGATTGATTATAACCAAAAAAGGAATATAAGTATCGAAAATATTTGATGTCACGGACGCGTTGTAGTAATAATTTGATAAATATAACAAAGCAGTTAACACTAAATCATTTCATTTTCCAGCTGTCATATTTGGTTATGACATTTCCTGATTGGTGTAAAAGATAGAAACTCTGCCATCACTTACGCTGCGCTTTCAAGATTTAAAACGCGTCTCGTCAAATAGTTTTAATCAATTAGTCAGCCGATTGCCCTCTACACTTCACAGCACAATGGGTCAAATGATGATGGTAATCGCTCTCTTAGCTTTTTGTAACATGGTCTATGCAATGCCTACATGGGAGAACGGTATGTAACAATTTTCATGTTCATTCGTGTTGTTTCCTTGCAATACGTTTAAAAGATTACCACTTTTTTTTACTCTTTCTTGACATCAACATTGTTTATCATGAAGCCTAACAGTCTGTAAAACGCCTTGTATATACACCCCATTCGATCTGGTTGGAATTAACAGATAGGACGTGCAAATTTCTTGCGAGTTGGGTGGCCTTTTTTTTGGAGCCCCATGGGATGAAGCAATGAGCATAATGTCGTCTCGTATAATATGTTAAACCATCGAATAAGGGATTAATCATTTCACTAGTATTTCTTTTTCTAGTTTTTTGGCTCCAACTTTTTGAAATATATCCTACGGTATAATATGACAATCAAAATGGTCTTGTCAGCCTGAGGCATGCACAAAAGACGAAAACAACACAAACGAAATGATTTAAATATCCTTTCTAACTAAAAAACACCCTATCTCTTAAAAGTTCGTAACCTGAGAAGTTAATCCTACAATACTTTTGAATCATTCGGCGTGAAAATTTAGCTGTTACGCTTTTCGTCTGTATTTTTCCTCTGTTCTACAGTTTCATACCAACCCCTATTTTATGCGTGTATTACCCTAACAAAGTAAATTTGTGTAATAATGGAATGATAAAAACCTAGTTTATGGCTTGGCCCACGAGCAAGTTATCTATAGTTCCTTTGATGCGCTGCATTCGACCGAGAAATCAGAGAGCCTGTAATTGGAACCTTAGGGAAAACTTTTTTTTTTCTTTAATTAGTCCTTCTCTCGAACAATGGTTTAGGAATCATTTTAGGCCAGAATGTTATGCCGTAATCAGGGTAATGGGTCAACTGTGTAAGAGCAAGAATGCTTTTTCCCTTTTTCAAACTGCTGACAAGCTCTGAAGATGAATTTTATCAAACGCTACGAAATGGCTAAACTGTGCATGCAAAAGACAGCAGTGTTTTTTTGGCGGAGGTAATCCGATATTTTTTTTTATGCAAGGGCTGCTTCAACGAGACATCATTTTTGCCACTAATCAATAAAAGGCGCCTAAACATCCACTTCTAAGTTCGTGATGACAATTTTCTCCGCATAGAGAACACGTCTAACAGATTCTAAGCCTTTTAATCTAACACGGAATTTATTATTTATTTATTTATTTATTTATTTATTTATTTTTTTTTTTTGCAGATGAGGAAGCGGGTTTTAGTCCGTCTTCAATAAAAATTGCCGGCCGTCGCTGCAGCTGTTCTGATCAACATCACAAATGTGGCTGCTGCCTTCAAATCAGGGCACCTACACTCCAAAATTACGACGAAGCAGATGGTAGGTATAAATTTAAAAAAATAATTATTTCTGTTGCTAAAGACTCCTTGAGAATTCTAAGGTCGGACAAACCTGGAAACTAAACTAGTGATAGGCGTAACGTAACGTGAAGTGACATGACGTAACGTAACGTAATATCAACATGAAAGACCCGCCCACATCAAGGA